CAGATGGTCATAAATGCAGAGAAAAGGTAAGATGAGTACTGTTGAAGTGGGTCGAATTTTGACATACAGTGGGGTCAAGGTAGTTTGAAGTCAGAAGTCAACTGTCAGTTAATAGAATGAGTATACGCTGCCCAGGGTGCACAGCATGGAGGTTAGTCTATCGCGCACCCCTTGGCAGAAGTATAATAAGCCCGCGAAAGAGAGAACAAAACTTAGCTCAGACGTGATCAGTCCATTGAGGAATCAGTTTTTTGCATTAAATTTTGTTTTAGTTAGAGCGACAAAGAATAAATCAATCATTAATATATAGGCAGGAAAGAGTTCAATCGATGGCTATTGATTTTACCATATTGTGATCTGCCCATGTTTGGCATGACGATGATTTGCAGTTATGCTGTAATTCAAGTGCAAGGCAAAATTATTTTCAAAAGGATATTCCAATCTCATTTAAATTCAAGCAATAATTATGGAAAAATTTAATGTTGGTCGATTCTCTTAGCCTAATCAGATAATTTAGCCTGTTAAAGCAGAGTAATGTATTTTAAGAAACTATCTGATTTAGAAATGCATAGCTTTCGATGGGATAGCTATCAGGAGAATGGGAACGGTGAATAGGATTTGCAGTTCTGAAATTAAACCGATGAAAGCCCCTATAGGTATTGTTGCAAAGAGGCAAAAGTTTATATTTATTCGTATTTTTTATTTTCACAAATTTTATTTTCGTTCGGGTGCAGTCACAAATAGAAACTTAAATGGATCACATCTTTGAAATCACATTTGAGTGTGTGCGTGCTATTTGCGCCCATATAATAACTTGTATGCATTAATGATATATCAGGGAATAAATGGGTCTTCTATTTTGAGAAGAAATGGAATAGATTCGCGAGCCCTTGAGTGTGATAAATGGATGATAAGTGCAGAAAACAACCAGTACGGATTGTAATAGGCGCGGCATTTACAGCACCCTCATTTCTTTCACGTTACTGTTAATTCGGGTTGGTCTAAATCACACCTGTAGGCCAGCAATAGAGCCATTTTGCCAAATCTACTTCCATCCGTCCATCCATCATAATCACTTTGAGCATTCCCACAACCTTACACAGCGATGAGTAGAAGTAATATAATTGAGAGTGAGTGTTGATAAAATAGAGGCAAGTGGCGGTCCTACCTTTTTCTCATTAGCCTTTTACAGGGAGGGATTTAGGAAAAGGATTATACAAACCACTCTCCCCCCCCCCCCCCCCCCCCCCCCCCCCCCTCCCTCCTCCCTCCTCCCCTCTTCCTTCTCCATCTTTCCCATTCTTCCGTGATGAATACCTAATTTGCGAGGATGCCAGTGCCCACCCAGAAAGCCACACATGAATTAGTGGCTCTTTCACTCACTTGCGATAACTTGAAATTTGTCGTTTTTCGCGTGTTTGTAAGACCGTAGCTAATATATTCATGTTATATTAATGAAAAACAGAGTGTGAGAAGACATGATGTAGACATGTGTGCTCACCTCACATTAAAGTCATTAAAAATTGAAGTAAATCACGAAATGTGGATGTAGCTGTAAATGAATTCGAGCAAATTAAATTTCTTTAATTTTTTAAGAGACGTGGTAGTAGTTGCAGTAGAATGGTTGAATGACAGCCTTCTAAAAGTGGCTTAGTTTAATTGAAGTATGTTCCAAGATGACCTTCACTACGGAGTGGAATTAAAAAATGCTTGTCTTTAATTAGACAAAGGACAATACGAGATTTACGAAGAAACCTAAAATGTTATTTACTCATTTAATTCGCATATTTGGAGATTCGTAACCGTCTCCAAATTCGATAACAGTAAATGGATGATGGCAGAAAATGAATCCAATATGATTGTTTAATGGGTATTGGTTGCTTATTTATTTTTAATGTACGAAGTGATTAGTCCATTTTGAATTTCGGAAGGTAGCTCTGTGAGTTCAAAGACACGTCGTTATAGAACTGTAGACGCCAATAAATGACAAGAAGTTTCAAATGATTTCAACTTAAGAAAACGATCAAGTTTCGATTGACATAAATTATGCTAATTTTCTCATTTTCGCTTATATTTAAACAATAAACTTGATGAAAATCAATTAATTCATTTTAAATTACTTCGCAGTCGGCCTGTATATTTGCATATTGAAATTGATTTGAAGTCAAATATGATATACCTAAAGACCAATTTCAATCACATTCTTGACTTGAATAAAAAATTGAAAGCCCACTTCAATCGAGTACGCCATTAATTCAGGAGAGATTGGCAAACCAATGACAGAGAAAGGTCAATTGAAGAGCTCAAGTCATGAAATGGTAGTTGGTCGTTCATAACGTTATTGCATTTAAATTATTGACAATTCATTATGAATGCAAGCTAAATTCATTATACGCCGTAGATACGTTCGAACTTCATTGCGGTACAATGCCCAAAATAATTCAAGACAAAATTAATGATATTGGTGCCCATAGTGTAAACTATAACACAATGTAAATAGTTGCAAATAATTCATCATGAGACCAATCTGGTCATCTAAGCTGATTGAATAATGAGGGAAGATTGGAGTTCGAATATCTCAGTATTGGGAGCATAATGTCATAGTCTTCAAATCAAATTTTAATTGATCGATTTTGAGCAAAGTTAAACAAAAACTTTTACCCCTTTTCCCCATCGCAGAGACCAGAGGTTACTTGATAATTTATCTTTATCCCAAGCGGTGATTGATACTAAAAGTCACTTGTGAACAGTATTAACTTTATGCCAATCTGTTGATTTTGCATAGATATTAGTCTCTTTCTTGCTTACAAGAGGTATTTGAAAAGTTGAAATAAAGTGCATCTAAAAACACTAGCTCAAGGGGGAGAGAAAAGGCAGGCATGGATAAGTCTGTCAGGCTGAAAATCGAAACTGTCAATCACTAGGGGGGGGGGGGGGAAGGGGGAGGGGTAGAACTCCCATTTCTACTCACATCTCATTTCCATTGCAGCGCGTGCGCACCACCAAGTTACTACTACCTCCCTCATCTTCTCTTGTCTACTAATGTGAAATGCAGTTTTAGAGAGAAAGAAAGACAACTCAAGGAAGAAAGAGGGAGGAGAGTAAGGAGATCTGCGAGTAGCAGATTTACATGTTGAATTGGCAGTTGAGGCAGGCAGGACGCAGAGAGAAAGAGTATTAGAGGGAGAGGGGCGAGATGGATAGATGGATTGATGAACGGGATGAATGAATAAGAGTGGACAGGCGGACAGTCAAGAGGAGGAAGAGGGGTGTGGGAAAGGGAGATGGACAGGTCACCGAGAAATTAAAAGACGTGAGCATGTTTAGTATATGGGCATGCAAGCATACTAGTATGCATACATGTATGCGTGTTCTTGTAAGATGACGATAGACAGATGAAGTGGAATAGATGGCAAGGGATTCTATCAATCCTACTTGTCCTCTCTCTCCCTCTCTTCTCCTCAAATTTCATTCTTTCCTGTTTAGGAAAAAAATGTGCAATAAATTTAAGTACCATAAATATGCTTATTAATATCATGAACTGCCATTATTTGAGCATGGTATTAAGAAGAGCATCAGTTATTACGCTTTATGCTCAAAAGATGAAACTATTCAGATGAGCTGATTTAGATAAATGAGGGTTTAGTGATGACATCCTTATGAGAAACTCATATTATACAAACTCCAATGTTAATCAGGGTGGCAATTTTCCAAACACCACAGGATGCACACTGATTTCAATCATCCCTAACTCGTGACGAAAACGTTAATCGCTGTACCAACATCTGTAGGTAGACTTGAAAGATATAAAGAACTTCTCAATAAGGACATCTCTCTTACGTACATATTATATTGAATGTCCTGGTTTTTGTTTAATTAGAAGTGATATTACAAACACTTTCAGTTCCAAAAGAGAAGTGGCCAGAATTTCCAGAGGCATGCATCTAAAATTTATGCAATGAGCTTAAAACACTGACACTCAATGGTGATTAAAAAACAATTTATTATCCTTCAACTTTTAAGGCAGTTTGTGAAACAGGTTCTGGATGTACTCCCTAATTGCAAAATCGAGCAGTAAATGATTAAGTAAAAGTAATCAAGCAGAACATATTGAAGGTAAGGGAAAAAAATGTATATCGAGTATATTTCTGCCAATGATAAACTCTATCGAAAATTCAAATGGGGTTTCCTAGGAATAAAATTGAATTGTTAATCACATTAAGTTGTGAAACACGTTAGTATTATCGTAAACAGTAGCCTTCGATACAATGTAGTTTTAAAAAGGACCTCGTACCAATAAGACTTTTTTGGAATAAAAATTATGAATTTTGAAATATGTGTAAGATATAGAGATGGATCATCAGAGTAGAAGGGCCAAATTATCTAAATCTTACTAATTCTTTTATTAGCTAGCTTTTAAATAAGCTAACAGCATCACAAAATAATGATCTTGCGACAAATGGGTCAATTTTAGCTCTTATTTTGTTAACTGGAAATGCGAATGAAACAGAAAATAGTTCTCACGAAATATATTATTCACAAATAAACAATCGGAGACAATATGGCTTGAAAGTGCATGAATACACATCCACTCAAACATATATATTTCAAAATTCTTATTCATATCGAAGTAGATTTCTAAGCATGTTTCCATAAATCTTTACGTCGAAGTTTTAAAATCTCAAATAAGAAAAGAACATTCAGCATTCCCTGTGATATCATTTAAGAACAAAATTTTTCCTTAGCATTAATAGCGCATTATTTTAGCTAATTAAATCAATACAAATGATGTGAAATCAGTTTTATGTTGCTGTTTGCAAATGAATGGTAGATTAAAATGGTCATCTGCTAATGACAGTAAATTATTTGGATCGATCAAATGTTTAATATTTTGGCGATCTTTTCAGATAAGTGTGCACAAGGTCATGGATGTCACAGAATGTTTTCTGCGAATATTAAAACCTTTTCATTTCTCATCTTTTAAAGAATTAAGACAACAGATGACGGAATTTGAAATGGTTTGATTAGACTAGCTTTTTTATTCTTAGGCCTCTGGGTTACAATATAGTGTAAAGCGGAGCAACCGTATATCGAATGAGGACCCTAATAAGGATAATTTTGTCTACAAATATATTCAATACGCATGTACTTCGCAACGGTACGAACATTTTTCATCTTATCTTTAAGCTATGGAGATTGCCCTTCAACGGTGAGTGTGTGTCATAGCTACGGAACCCTTCGTATTGCTCGTTACTATATGATCCATAACCATAATTTGGATGCTGTGGAAAGACCTACGCGTCCTAGAATTACAGAAGATTTTCAACCTCCTCCATTTGTTGTTGATTCCACGGAGTTTGAGGGTATATCTTTTTCTCTGGTTACCACATTTTAAATTATGCGTTAGGTACTGACCAAAGGGCCGATTTTCTGAAATATGTCCCCTCTCGAACATTTTCATCGTTTGTGGAGTTAGATAAACTTCTCAATAATTTCCAACAAGTACTCTGATCTTTTTTAATTGTTATTTTCTTTAAGAAAACTGGTTGCTTGCTTGTTAAACGCAACTCTCTAAGGTTTTCTCCAAGCAAACCCGAACACAAAACCCTCGTATACAAATCTATTACATATGCCTGTTGTCATTATGGTAGTGGCCGCCTTTCCAATGCCAAAATTAACCAAAAGTAAATCTTATTTTCCATTTATTTAATTATTGATTTCAGAACGCGAAAAATGAATTGCCCTTGTATAATACGTGTTGGCTGTAAAGCAAAGAAGTTGTACATAATGAGTTATGTAATGTACCATAATCACCCAGTGACGGCCGAAATTGCGGCTAGCTATCCGGAAAATCGCCGTCTTACTGAAAATGAGCAAAAAGAGATAACAGACGTTCTGCTTTCAGCACCCGATAACCTCACAGTAAAATGTCACATCGAGCATCGATTTGGAAAGTCATTTTCCCTCGACGATGTCCGCCAGTTGAAGTATCGTATTAAAAGGAAGAAAATGGCCGAGGAGGTTGTGAACGTTTGTCCCTCTGATCAGATTACTCATGATAGAGATTTTGAAATGGATTCCGCCCCTTCTATGAGTTGGAACGATCAAAAAAGGGAGGACTATCGATTTGCTCAGCTTGAGCCTGTGGCTGATGAACTGGCGGAGTTTGTTTGTTCTGCAGATCATGAAACATTCTGTGAAAGGTTGGAACTCCTGAAGGACTTGGCTAACGCCTGGCGCAATGGGAAACAACCGATGCTGGCTTATAGCGAATCTGATCTTCCCAGGGATTCTCTTGGAGGTCTAATGCATACGGAGGTTGTTAAGACGGATGATTCATTTCCCTTCTCGAAATCTAACAGATCGTATCTGGATGCGAACTTATAATGCTTTTAGTCTTGTGTATATCTTAATATAATATTGTTTATTAATTGAAAAGAACAATATATATTATATATTACTATTTCGTAGCTCCTTTGGTTTTTGATATATGATTTTTTTATTTTAGAATCCAATGAGCCAAACCACATTTAGATGGCTAAAGGTTCTTTTTAGGTGTTATAAGGCATACTACTGAGAAATTGTGAATAGCGCTGCCGTATCAAAGTGAAGCGCTTAGGTTCGACGTGAGGATTTCGTACTGGAAACCTTTCGAAAATAAAAATTCTCCGTTATTAAGTTGTATCACGACGGATGAGTGCTCAGTCATCGGGAGGTATAACTGCAGTAATCTTGTGACTTACCTTTAATGATCGAAATAGAATATATAAGAATTCTGTCCTCTCTCTAGCATGCCCATAGTATTAAAATTTCTATGACATATCTCTACTTCATTGAACCCAAATTCAACAGACCCAATTCGTGCGTAATTCACATTAGGAATAAAAATGCCGCTTTGGGGTTAATTTCACGTGGTATTAAGAGGCAACTTGTAGGCGTTTCCTGGCCTCATTCGATGCCCTAAATTGAAGAGAGGTTTTCAAATCCTATCTGCTCAAGAGAAAATATGGGTTTTTAAGTAAGATTTTACATAAAGCAGCCTTTATCGCCTCATGATGATCACTGCTTTTGGATTGTAATATAAGTTAACTATTGCAGTTAGAATTTTTATCTCTCAATGCTGAATTAAGTTCAATATTTTCCCACAAATTTCCTCTGTAACTTAGCCATTGCCATCGTTTCCCGGATCATCAGATATTTGCTTCTTATTAGACGGAAAACTCTGCGAAGTGATTAGGTGAACTCCAACACTAAGGGATACAGTTATTCACCACTAATTGAGAATCTGCTTTCTGTCTAACACAAGCAAAAGGCAAAACAGTTCAAAGGCGGATAATGTACAAATGAGAATAGGCAGAGTTCTTCTGAGCTATAGATGCCTCAATCTCAGTGAATTCCATCATTGAAGGAGACCTGATCCAAAACGGAATTGCCGGTTGCGCACTGAGTTGACTATTCTCTCCCACATTCCAATCACAACCTTCGGAAACTGGTGTCCCCAATTTTTCATGAATAATCATTTCTTCGAAAAGACTATTCACTCCAAAACGGACGAGCTTTGAACCCCTTTGGTGGAAAATACCTTCAAATATATATAGTTCCGTGTTTTTTGACAAGGTTAAATAGATTTGAAAGATCCAAAAAACTACTTCAAAATGAAAAAATAAAATAGCAACATTGACAAACGTGTATATCACTTCATGATGGCTCAAATTTTCACCAAACACACATCACTTTAATCAATACTGGTATAGCCAAACGGATCACTATACGGAGGGACTCTTTTATTGTTTGATAAAATGGCCTCGTCTTTTCTCCTTATAATCCAGTTTAGTTAGTCTAGGTCAAATATTCCTTTAGGATTGCGGTTGGAGCCACTAGTAAAGTGTAGTAAGCTGGAGCCTCTCTAGTAGGAAACTCGAATTCCGATACTTTTTTGACTCGTCAAAATTATCCTCTGATGTTGAAGCTGCTCGTATGGAGATCAAATCGGTGACCTTTGATCTTTTACACACACACTACCGAGGTTTTCCGAAAGTCCGCCCACCCGAATAAGCGCCAATGGACGATAATACAAAAGTACGCTTATTCGTTCCAAAAATAGTTTCATGAAATGGAATTTTCCGTTTAAGCGCCCTGGGAGGGCTTTCAGAAAATCCCGGAAGAAGAAATTCGACTAAGAGGTTCTAGAGTCGCCTTATGCTGGAACGGGTCATTTCAAGCCTGAATTGTTCCGTATAATTTGAATTCAGCCAGTTACGGGAGTGGATTTTGAATTAGTCAAAGAAGAACATTTATATCTTGTCGAATTCTAATCTCCGCTAACTGGGTTTTTAAATTCACTTATCATTAGGATGTTGATAATGGCCACTATTTATTTATTTTTTCTAAAAAATTCACCACTTCAATCATAGAACAGTGACCTACTGGCAACGTTGAGTGGATGAATAGATTCTATTGCACCCAAGTCTCAGGTATAATGTATGAATCTTTGACAAGAAACATATCGTGATTCGTGACTTCAGATGACTTAAACATAACCGCTTCAGATATATATAAATTTCTGTCTTTCTATTAATGACGAAATAGGAGTGAAACTCGGGGGGAGGGGGGGGGGGTAATCGTTTTTAGAATAGAATAATAAAGGGTAATGAATCTACGGCCACACACAGTCTCTGTTTAGTCGACTTAATAGACGGGTGTCTGTAGCCCCGTTCGTTGCATTAGCATCTTGGCACATGTTGAACCAATCGAGGTCGTCAACAAAGCGGAACCAAGGACACTTTGGAGCATAAGGACCCTGCAGAAGAGCTGTCAGCAGACAAGCCCCCTCAAATACACATTCAGTAGGGGTTGGGGCTACTTGTACGTTTGGTCGACTTCCAGGGACAATCATACGTATCTCCTCCTGAACTCTTTCGCGGAAACCTAATTTAATAAAATATTTTTACTAAAGTAATATAATATACTTTGGTTTGATCCTATTTTAATTTCAATACCTTCAATTTCGGCAAACTCCCCAATGATTAGGACATTAGAGCAGATGGAGCTTCGAAGGTCAAGGTCACAGGATAGAATGGCTGCCCTCAGGAGTTGGTTAAAGGGAGGTAGTTCACCATCGTGCTCGATGGAATTTTCCGAACGCAATAGACTATCGGAGGCTTTTCTTCGTAACTCAGCCGGCACACATATTTGCCTGCGTATAGATGCCAAATGAAACTCTATGGATAAGCAGATTTAACTGCGCTCAAATCTACTGCATAATGCTTTGCGGCTTTGACTATTTCACAAAAGTACATAGCTTTTAGGAATCTTGAAAATGTTGTCTTAGAAAATAACATAAAATTACAAACGACAAGGGTCACCAAGAAGTTTTATCTTTTTTCACACAAAATCAGAAAATTTTAAATTGACCAAGCTTGACTTTCGAACCTTGATGTTAAAGCTGGTTGGAAGGATCGGGTAAACGGAAGAATATTTAGTTACTTAAACTAAATTGGAGTATTTTTCCATAGTAATCAAACTAAATATCTTTTGGAACTGAAAAACGGTATTGATTTAGTCCAATTCTACTTTTTTCGCCTGCAACGTTTTCAAACTTGTGAATAGAGGGATAAATCAATAAGTTGAAAATGCTTTTGAAAACGTACTTGTCAAGAGGATAAGGGGTATACCGTGTGAGATCTATCACAACGCCCCCGCATTTCGAGTCTTGATTTTCGATAAATGCGGCCTAAAAGATTTTGAAATAGAGCATACGGCGAGATTGCAAAAAAATTCAAATATCTTAAAGTAGTCAGCGTTTTAAATAATTATCTATACAACAAATGCTTCGATAGTTGTAAATTCCAATTTGTAATTACATTAACAATTAATGTTCAATTATTTTGACTTTGCTATTCAGCACATTGATTTAACACAGCTTACAGAGCTCTGCCTGCTTAAAAATTCTACTTAATCTCTGCTCTGTTAAAACTGCAAACTGCGGAATATTTGTTGCCCCAACCACAGGAAGAAATGAGATCATATGATATACGGATCTTTTTAGAATAATTAATACCGATCAATAAGTATTTGCTGCAATTGAAGAAACGAATTATGATATTTAAATTTTGGAACATGATCCGCCTATTTAGCAAATACAATTTAGCCCCAAAATCAAATGAAGTAAGGTTATTTGACACCTCAGTACCTTTTTGTTACCCACATTATATCGTTTGTTGAACAAACTCCCACTCGTTATCCGTTGCTTTTCACAAATTTACATAAAAAATTAAATCCCTTTGTTTTCGTGTACATTGTTAACTAGATACTTTAAAAGTGCGTGCACAAAGTGCAATCTTTCGTTTTAAATGAATACAACCTTCCATCAAGAGATTTCCTATTGCACTTATGCGTAATTGAAGTTGAGCGTCTTTAATGATCATATTCTACTCCACCAATTGCCTGCGCCAAGAGAGAAGAATTCTTGAAGACTAGCAAAGTAGGATAAGAGAAATACTTACAGTTTCAACGGATTCACAACAAATAAGTTAGGAAAAAAACTCTAATTTCCTCGTTGGATGGCTAGGAGTGAATAGGTAGAATAGAGATGAGCCGTAAACAGACCCAAAAGATATTATAATGCAAAATCAGAAAACTCAAAAAAATTAAAATGCCAACTTTTTGAAATACTTGCCAAGGTTATTGCAGTTTATTGTTTTAATGCGTCCAATGTGACCAATCTTTGAAGGCTTATTTTTTTTGTGACGCCATTTTACTGGGCCGCAGATACACTTCAAGCAATTCACTAAACTGACTCGAAAATTTATTCAAGTTGAATTTTACATTAATTTAAATAATCTAGAAAAAATATTATATCATACTTTTTGAGAAAACAATTAAAATTTCTAATCATCAGGAATTAGCATCAAACTTTGACATTTTTTAACACTTAACAAGATTTTCATCCTACTTGCTCAATATCACCAAAATAGTTTATTTTATAATGTAAAAACTGATAAAATGGCTTCAAGTCGCATACCTTCTGATAGATGTAGGGACCAAAGCAGTCAATTTCCTTTTGAGTCAAATTAACGCCTCCGTTAACCAACTCATTAAAGAAATATTTCAAAGCCATCTCCCCATATAGCGCTGTTGTTGAACGTCCGTGTTCTAGGAGGGTTCCTGAAATAAATATAACTAATAGTTTATTAAAACAAACACATTTTCAGCACCAACTTTTAGCCTATATTTTATTGGGTAAGCCGGGGTGTGCGATAGACTTACTTTCACGTGGAGCACCATGGGCAACGTATACTCATACGACAAAAAAGTCTATTAACCGGCAGTTGACTTCTCACTTCAGACTACCATCACCCCACTGTAATGCATGTTCGAGCACTTCCACAGTACTCGCCTCACTTTCAACCTTTGTGTCTGTCTCTTCTATATCTTTGAAACACCCTCCTATCCCCCC